AAGAAGAAGAAGAAGAAGAAGAAGAAGAAGAAGAAGAAGGAGATGATGATAGCCAGAAGGGAAGAATGAAGGGGGGGAAATCGGAGGGGGAGACGAACCATGAGAGACTACGGACTCCGAGAAACAAACAGGGTTTGAGAGGGGAGGGGGTTAGCCTGGTAATGGGTATTAAAGAGGGCACATACTGAATGGAGCACTGGGTGTTATATGCAAACAATGAATCACGGAACATAATGTATAGTGATTAACATAACATAATAATAAAAAAAATAAAAAGCAAAAAAAAAAAGAAATTAAGAAGTTCCTTCTAGGAAAACCAGTCCAAGAAGGGTTTAGCACAAGGCTTTTAAAACCTAAAATAGAAGAGTAACAAGAAAGTCTTTGGTGCCAAGTCACACTTACAAGGATCTGGGACACTATGGAAGGTCAAAGACAGACTGGTTGTCTAGAGCCTTCGCGGCACAGACCACCTCACTAGACATAGCTCATTCTTGCCTCAGCCAAAGCAGTAACACAAGCCATGTTGGTCTAGAGACTAGTCCACACTCCCCTTCTCTGACTCTGTGTTTAGAAGAAACTCCTGAAAATGGAGAAAAACACAATTATGTATTATTTTTCGGACCTTAAGTTGAGGAGTGTGATACTCCAGGCTCATTCTAAACCTCCTTATCTATCTTTTCTTATCCTTTCCATCCTTTCAATCTTTTTTCCCCAGTGACCTGATTTTTTCTGTGGGCCGCTGGTTCTATTCCATTACTGCTCTCATCTTCTTGAACTCCATCCACCCTTTTTTCAGTTTTTGCCCCAATCTTATAGGTTTCGGGGAAAAGACTGGGAAGAAAACTAGATATTAAAGGGAATGAAATTGAGATGAGGTCATAGTGCCCTAGACTGCTGTGTCTGTCTCAGAGACACCGGCCTTGCTAGATCCCATCAGATTTGTGGTGCTAAATAATCTGATAAACATCAGCTTGTATCATATGAAATTTCCCAAAAAATCTATCATTTTGATTTGTGGTTTAGACTAACACACTTCTGTTTATACCACCAGTGTTCCTGGAGACTATTCTTTTCCTCTGCCAGGATAAACAAAATGTTTATTTCAGAAGTCCATTTATAGGGAAGCCATTCCTGGCCTTTGTTAACTAACTTGGAGCCCAGTAAAAAGAATTTTCAGTAGGGGACCTACATTTAATCTGAGGAGCTTTGTGGTACCCTAAGCCCTCACTATATAGATGAACAGTGACTTCATTTCATGTACAAGATTGACCCTGGAATTTACCATTATAATTGTTTTTCTAACACCCAGGACATCAGTTTCATTAGAGCCCAATGTCTTGTCCTTTTTTTTTTTTCTTTTTCTTTCTTTTTGGGGATTTGTCCATGCCATCTTATCCTAACAGCAATTTTATTTACTCATAGAGCAGCAGGTATTTGTGTGGATAAATATGCCTTTTTCCTTCTCCCAAGCATTTGGTCCTTAGACATCCAGGACATAATAGTAGCCAATATCTTTTCCTTGGAGTTGTCATAATTATTAAGAAAACATATTCCTCATGTAATGGAAACCGATTTCTTTGGTTTAGAGTACAACTTGTGCATGCAAAAGAAAAGCCATGTCTTTTTTTTTTTAAAGATTTTATTTATTTATTTGAGAGAGAGAGAATGAGAGAGAGCACATGAG